CATTCCTGCAGTGCTGTTCAGCATGTCTCTTCCAGCATTTGGAATTCAGTGCTTTCAAGGGATGCTGGTTTCCAGAGTAATTTGCAATTCTGATTCATGTAAAGATAACTTAGTGCACATAAAACTTTCACAAAGTCTTCAAAATACTGTAGTCTTCACCAGACGTAGCAATTGCTCTAAAATGTTATTGATTTTCTTCTTTTCTTACACTGATTAACTTTTATGCAACCAACATGCTTCTATGATATGATGATGATGTTTTTTCTATGTCATTGACTACCTCCGAATGCTGCAGGAGCAAGGAGTCCAATCCATGGTTATGCTTGGGTAACTCCTGTTTTCACACAAATACATATGCAAGGAGAGAGCTTTTTCCCCGCCCCAAAAATTTAATTTCTTAACAGTTTTGTGCTTCAGAGGTCAGAACAACAAATAAAGAAGCTGTGTGAAATTATGCTAATCAGTAGCAAAGCAAAATTTACCTGAATGTATCATGGAAAATATTCTAGGCTCTCGATGATTTCTGCAGTGGTTGCAAAGTTACAATATAATGCATGCAAGGAAACTGCATAGGAGCAGGGTCCAGCCAGCCACATAAAAAAACCACAATAAAAATGTGGAACTCAAAAAAAGGAGAAACGTAGTTTTGTTCATACTCTCTCATTGCACCCCATCATCAGCAATATTCCAGATATAAATTCAAGATAATGGTATTTGTATTTATCCTTGCAAGTTGCCTATAATTAATGTTTTGTTTATCAATAGGAAAGATAACCATAAGAAGCAAAAAAAAAAAAAAAAAAAGAGGAAAATATCATTTTGTGAGAGAGCAACAACCAAGAGAACAACGAATGACCAAACAAGGCTGTTTCTTCTTCTTCCCAGACAGAGAAGAAATTGAATATGAGGGGACAAAAGCGGGGGGGGGGCTTTTTTACCCTAGTTTGTAGGCACTCCAATTTCAAGTTTTTGCAGAGCAGTTCTGTAACTGTAGTTTCCCTAGTAAGTGCACATTACAGAAGTCTTTGTGGTTTCATCCGAACCAATGGGTCATGGGTCGAATCGATCTACTGAATCAGTGAGAATTTTGAGGCAAAAACTATGGATGTCTCACCATTAAAGGTTGCGCCAGCACTTAAAGCGGATGGCAGATAATTGGGAGACTATTAGTCTGGACGCATACGTCACTACAGCGAGCTAATTCACAATGCATACGTGCATGGATCCTAGTTTTTACTATAAACATCAAGCCTTATCAATTCTGAAAGCAGACCTGTCTGAAAAACAGGTAGTCAACTTCAGGAAGTGCAGTTACTTAGAAGAAACTTAACTGAAGGAAAACCTGCTGAAAGGAGAATTGGTCCCGTTTTAGCCAAACCAGGACAGGAAGCTTTTTCATCACCACGTTGAAGGCATTAGAACGTGGCCTGTAACAGGCTCTCTATACAATCCGTCAGAAGCCTACCATTCAGAGAAAGACATCAGAAGCTTTTATTACTAGAATGTCTATAATCTTTGATCTGTCATGTCAAAAACACTTCCACAGAATATTCTTTAGTAAGCCACCAAAAGGCTATGTCTTTTCAGTAGGAGAAAAAGACATAGTTAGCCACAGATAATTTCAAAAGCTGACATTCAATTTAGAAATTACTAAAGAAAAGCAATTTAGTATTTCTGCTTAGGTCTAAGATACTTACCTTACTTGAAGAATAGGCTGTTTTTTTACAGAAGCAGTTTTTTCATTTATACTGTGACTTTGAAGTACACTGTCTGTTTGCAGTTCATTAACTGCACGTGGAATATTACTCTGTTCACTTTGTCTAGTAGAAGCATTTACTGGATCCATAGTGTTCACTACTTCATTCGTCAGTGAAGAAGAATTTACAGATGGAGCAAGAACCTGATCATCTGACTTAGAGGTCAACTGTGGACAATGTATTTCTTTACGTGTTCTTCCTATGTAAGTTTTTGGATCAGCGGGATTCACTTCATGGTATTTTGACACTTCAATATTGGCTTCTGAAGATCTGTCTACAAATACTCTTCCTTGCACTCTGTCCTGTATTGAAAAATACTAGTTAGAGACTATATGAGCTCTATAAAAGTATTAAATAGATCTAATAACAAAATTAACTAGGATAGACCAGCCTAACTCTGAAGGTAAAGGAAATTCCAGAGAAGCTTCAAAAACCCCTGACTGAGCTGAGAGCCAACAAGACAGCAGTGCTGCTGACGGTGTTGAAGGGGTAGTTATTAAGTGAATTCCAGGCTGAAGCAATGGATTTGCTATTAATACAAGGCACTTCTAGAAATTAAAAGATTCAATTAAAAGATCCAGCTAAATAACTCAAAAACTTGCTGTTCCGTACCCAGAGATATCAAGTAGTTCAGCACAAGGAAACTACAAAAAAAACTTTATTTCAGTTTATGTTCACATTTTCCATTATCATCTATCCTGTCATAGCTGCACCATCACAGGCACGTCATGCATGCAAATATTAAAATTATAGGTTTAAGTGAACAACAATTAAAAATAAATCCAACTCTTGTTTCTCCAACCTAAATGATATCATTTTTGGAGACAATCTGGTTTTATAATAAACTAAAATGCTTCATAAAAATACAGATGCCTGCATTCTCTGATTGTCCTGCATACTTCTAACTTTGTATGATACACAGTAATGGTAAAAGTTGCAGGTTGTAGTTTCATGCACATCCAATGTTTTCCCTACTTTTCTAGCTCACACTGAAATGATCTTAATGGTTTACTTTCTATTTCTTCCTAAACTCTGGAAAGATTTGTTTAGTTTTATCCTACTTTGGTAAATGGGCCAACCTCATCATGTTCTTTTTCAATCAAGTTTATTCTGTGTAAAATTTCTTTTGCTTTCTTCCAGTAGTCTTGTAGACTTCTTTTTCTGACTTGCACGTCCAACTCTTCTGCATTGTTCATGTTCATTGAATTATCATTTGTTTTCAGGGCCAATTGTTCAGCTTTATAAAATATAAAACAATATTCCAAATTTTATCAGTTATCACCTTAAGTATTTATTACATTTTAGTATGTTGAGGGACAGCCCCAATAATTTAATGTAAAATATAACCTCTGAATAATAACTTTTTATATAACTTAAATTTACACATAAACGTTAATACACTTCAAACAAACTGCAGTTACAAGAAGTCAGCTTGCAATTATAGTTACTATAAGCTGTTTATACAATGATGGTGTGCTCTAAAAAAATGACTTTATCATGGACTCAATCCTAACTCTATAGGTCCTTTACTAGTATCGGTGTCTTTTTTTTCAAAAATAACTCCATATTAATGGACACTGAAAATCACCACATCCCTCAATCTTTAACAAAACTCTCAGTTATGTTTTCAGTACGAAAATGTAAATACATGCTTTTTACTAATTATCAATTGCATAATACCTTCCACGCTTTAGAGACTTGTCTTTCTGTTTCATTGGTAGTCTTATAGAGTTAATTAAACAAAAACTTAAACAAGATACTTCAAAATACACCCTACTTTAAAAGTAAAGATCAAGATTTTTTTAATATTGCAAAACAATTGTAGTAATGGTGATTTCGGGCTTGATTATTTACTGGTTTACTCTCTATATACAATGGTACCTACCCAGGAATAGAGTACCAACTGCGTGTTAAATGACACTGTTAGTATTTTCCACATAATTTATAGATGGGAAAGCTTTTAAGAATTGGCCCTACATATACAGGTTTCACAAATGCATTATTGCAACATCGGTGGAATTTTTACTTTTCTTTTTATTGCCTAAATACCATAATCAGTCCGTGGTGGCAAATGTGCAGCTTTTCCACAGAAAACAAACACCTCTTGGAGTACACAGAATTACAAAGCTGCAACAGCTAAAATAATTTAGAAAGTCAACAGAACTTAAAGATGGAAATCATCTCTGTAATTTTTCAAGCAGTAACAGTAAGCTTACTCATTTGTTTGCAGTTTTGCAGCACAAAAGTAGCAGCTTTGTTTAGTTCCTCATCCTGAGACTCGGTTAATACCTGAATCATAAGTGGAAGACCATTGTTCTGGAGCAGTTCACACTGGTTTTCTTCTAAAATAGGACATTGTAAAGGGAAACAGATTGGTTTCGGCCTCATACAAACTTAATCTTATAGTAATTTTAGAAATTAATATGAGTAACTTTCAGGGAAATTCTGAGAAAGAGATTTTTCATTATGGATCCCAGCATGCTGTAATGACCTACTACTCGGATTGCAGCAGAAGCGCTCTAGATCACACAGGATGATTTGACCATAGCTCACAGTTCTTGTAAGAAAACTGAAGGAGGACTGACACAAATTATATGACATAGATCCAAACTCATTTAATTGTTGCCTAAAATAATTGAATTATGGCTCCTGTATTTCTTTTCCTCTAAAGTATATATGCTATATTTATGTAAGCCTTGAGATGTAGAAATATCAAAAGCTTAAAGTTTGTAATTGGCAAAACTCTAATAAAATCAGTAGTTTACTCCTGGTCTAGCTAATCTGTTCCTCCTCATTAACTATGTAATTAGCTATTTTTGTAATTGTGATCTCATTTGCAGTATGTACTCATAAAACTGACAAATTTCTAAAAATAGTTCTTTGTTGTCTAAACTTGATAAAACAATGGAATCAACAACAGATGAAATATGATTATTTTGTCAGTGTTGACATTTTAAGAGAAACTTTTATTCTGTTGGTTTAATCATATTGCTATTTGAAAGACATATCCCATTAAGCTGTGTTTCAATTAATTCTTCATGAAAAAGTGTCTTTTAAAGTACCAGATTTATGGTCTACTGACCAAATTATTGAACTTGTTACTGACATTTAGAGGATGACAATCAATCAGGATTTTTGAACATAATCCCTTTTTCTTGCATTTCTGAACGTACATGAGAAAAAACAGTGTCACAACTTCCCATTCTGTGAGCTTTTACTACCATAAAATACCAACCTAAGTGTTACATTTTTACCAGATATGCTTAGGAAAGCCCTGAACAGCTGGCAAAAACATTTCAGGGTTACCTACTGCTTATGTTACTTCAAAACCAATACTGCTATATAGCTTTTTAAAAAACTAATAGCTACGTAAACAGTGGACAAAAGCTGTATATATTAAGGGTCATTAAAATAGAGCTCAAAAAGACTTATTTGGTATGTACATATTGTAGCAGTTTTCAAGTCCAGATGAATTTTACCCTGTAATACCTAAGCCCAGCTCTGAATTCTTGCGTAATAGTTTACTTTGTCTAAGCTCTTAAAGATACTATCTGCTAACAGGTTTTAGAATTTAAAGATTGAACATTACAGCAAACATTTTTTCCTGAATATTAAAATTACATTATTTAACAGAACTTTCCCTAATGTTCCAGTCTTGATGAAATGACACCATTGAAGTAGTTAGGAGAATTCAGTAGAAACTAACAGAAAGAAAAAAGAAAAAAATCTTACCACAAACTTCAGTACAGTGTCCAATTGTTAGAATAATACTAATTTTTTCTCCTGTATCGAGAGTGTCATTGGACAGCAGCTTCAGTAGCTCTGACACAGTGTGATACTTTGTCAAGACAACACTCATGGCAGCTATTAAAAATAATTTGAAGAAAAATAAACTAGATAGTAAGTATAGAGGTATCATGCAAATATAAAATGCTGTTTTTCAAGGGAACTCTACAGACCTCTAAAAGCCTTGGGCCTGCACAGTCCTCTTCTCTTCTCTCTCTTTCATTTTAACACTTCAAATTACCACATCCCTTCTGGTGCAGTAATTCTGCTCATGCTACTCCCCATATTCAACAGTGCCCTTTCTCCCAGACTGCACTGTATAGAGATGTGGTAGAAGATCTGATCAACAAGGGCTTTGCAATGTGCAAGTTCTGTAGACCTCTGCTGAGTTTCTCCACAAGCTTTACTAGCTCCAGAATAGAGCAAGAAAGAGTAGAACAAGGTTTGACACAAAGACTATCTGCCACAAAAAGAGCTAGGAGTGTTTCTGGTAGAGGGCAACCTCCTCCTGAAACTGGCGACACCACTGCTAGTACATACATGCTAAAACCTAATCCGGTCACATACCAACTTCTTTGAAACTAGGCTCAAAACCAGTGCAGGTATGTGCTTAACTCTTCTAAACTTCCATTAGCGAGCACTTGTGGCAGAAGTGTCAAATACAATAATCGTGGCCAACAGCACAGATTCATCAGGCTTACGGGGTTCTCAAAATCTGATGGAATACCCAGAGACCTCATTAGGACAGCACCATCCATACAGTAAATCAGAGTAAAGTTGCGTTACGCAGGCATACCACATTTGTTCAGCTCCACGCCTGAGTTACTAAAGTCTCCTAAAGTTTGCAAAGCTTACTAGCTTAGGCATAGGCCTACAGAAACACAGCTCTAACTCCCAGGTCCAAGCTGACTGCCACGCCCAGTTATCAGCTTTACTTACACACAACTAGCTCTAGTATCTGAGTTTTAATTTTCAGTATAGTTTAATTTTACTATGTTTATTTTGGCAACAATGGGAAAGTAACCCACCTCAGATGAACTGAATCATTCCCCATATACACTTTTGAATTTTAAAAAGTTTGCAGTATCAACTGGAATGTATATAACTTAATTGCTTTTAGCATCCATTCATATTACTTTTCCACCAAAACCAGACTTTAAAAATTGCATTTTAAAAATACCATATATAAAAATGGTAGCAGTCTTTTCACTCACAGTTATTAGCAATGCAGGCATCCAGAGTCTTTGTTACTACTACTGCAAGTTTTGTGCTTGAGTGACTCACACTGGAATCATGCATAAGCTTGATGAGAACTTTAGCTAATGTATCCAGTCCTCCAACAGAAACAAAATATTTCTGCACATATGCTTAGTGAAAAAAAAAAGAAAAAAGCATCTTAAATAATACAAGTTGCAAATTGTTTGAGCATTTTATTGATTAGGCTTATCACAATTTTTCTGTGCATATATTAATCATTACATTTCCCCTCACACAACAGAAGCTGGATATACATTAATCTCAAGAAATGTAGTAATTGTCTTATAAAATAGTTACAGGAAACACATGGCCCTAATACATGCGTACAAACAGCAAACATTATGCCCGAGTTCTACCTAAGTGATTGTTTTCAGAGATGTAATAATGACTAATATTTGTAAAATACTTTTAATCAAAATATCTTCCAAATGTAGCCAGTTTGTGGCTCCTTGTGGACTTAAGCACAACGCAGTTTAAGTAAAGATGGTGGAATACAGTTTTCAGAGTAAAAGTTGGAAGATGGAAAATGAGTTTGTAGAGATTGACAAAAAGAAATCCAACATTTAACGGTCAAATTAAACTTATTTTTACAAAAGAAAAACTATTTAAAGCTTGAGCTACACTTACAGTTATTTGCAACTGTGAGACCAACAAATGAACAAATAGGACGAACTATCTCAGGCTCTGTGCAACTTTCGAGCCACTCTTTCGCATATGGAAAAACTGAAGAGCAAATGTTTTGATTATCTTCTGGAAAAGTAAAACCAAATAATCCCAAATCAAAATGTAATCTGAAATTTCAGTTGAACGGTAAAAATGAAAACAAACTGTTGTCACTTTGGAGAAATACTTTACACTTTTTTCACAATTTTAACAGCAACACTTACCATTCTGAGGATTGTTAACACAGGCACAGAGAGTACTGCAGACTGAAGACCACAGCTGATAGCACTGATTAGTATTTTCATCTGACAGATTCATCTCAGATGTGGAAAGAGTTGTTCTGTTAAGAACAATGGAAACAAGTTCCAAATGGTCAAGCAAATGTAAGTACTAAATAGTCTATCATTTTTCTCTTTGAACTGCAACTGTTTACCTGAAGAGCTGTAGCAGAAGACTAATGCAGCCTGTATCTCTGACATAGGTTTGCCCATTTTCTAAAAAAAAAAAAAAAAACACACAAAAAAAAAAACAACAAACAACCCACGAAAAACCCCCAACACACACATCACACATACAAGACTCTGAAGATGCATGCAACTTGAGACAAAATCTTAACGTCAAGTTTAGTTCTATTTCCCTTTCCTAAGCATATATCACCCCTAAAAAACAAACACAAAATCACACCAACATGTAAAAATGTTCCACTTCTTTCTATGTCTATTTTTTTCTATACATTGTCAGAAGCTACTGGTTTGCATTATTTTTTTGGTTTTTTCAAACTATAAATTCATTTTTAGAACTAAAACAGGTTCTACTATTTAAAGGAAATCTCAGTGAGCGAGGATCTACTTACACAATTCAGGTTCAGTTACATGCAACGGTTCATCTTTATAAAGTAACTTTACCAAAACATTACTTATTGAATGTTCCAAATTTCTGTACTGAGGATTGGCAAATAGAAAAAAGTGGTGTTATAACCCAGAAAAAAACCCAACAACTTACTATTATTTGAAACCAGTACTAAGATGACATAAACAGACATTCTTTTCAAGTTCACACCAGAATCCTTATTAATTAAAAATAAAATGAGGTCTTCAAACAATGCAGAAGTACACAAAGTTTGTTGACAATAAACTGAAACCAGAAAACAAAAACCATTAAGTCCTAAAGCAAGCCATTCATAATCCTAAATTATTTTTGTACTATAGTAACTAGAGTGTCAGTTACATCATGGTGAGTGGAGACAAAACAGGACTATAAGGTGACTGAGGGCTTCCCCCCGTAGTCAGTTCTAAACCAGCCAGGACCTACGCAAACTTTGGAAGAATCTATGAGTCATTTAATACTGGCTGCTGAGGAAAAGAAGTAGTTCAGCTGTCTGGTATCATAAAGACATGCTGTCTACACAAATCAACAAGGTATTTCTCCAAATCTGGGGACAGACAGTGAAACAGTGGCACCTTTACTGCCCCTTGCTCAAGTTGATAATCTTGTAATCTGATTTTATGAGACAAAAAAAATAGTGGAGACAAAGCACAAGCAGAAGTAATAACATGGGATCATAACTCACTCAGAAATACAAATACTACTACTATGTATTACCATTACTCTCTATTATAATTCCTAATGTAAATAAAGCCGCTTCCTTTACTATGCAATGAACACTTGACTTTGCAAGATCATTTATAAAGATCAAACCACCAATTTCTCGAAAATATTCACTTGCTTCATCTGTAACAGAAAAAAGAAGATAAATTAAACTTTTGCTTTTGTTTGTCTGTAAAATGAAAACCTTTCAAGATTTTGTAATTTCTTAAGCCTTACATCCTTCAGATAATTTCTTTATAGAAACAACCACCTTCTTAACATATATTGCGAACATAAATGATTGCATTGTTTCTAAGGAAAAACATTTCTTACTGTTTTGTTGACAAATTGAATAAATAGTGATCAAAGCCTCTTTCTGAGACATAGGGCAGTCCATCTGATATTTAAGGCACTCAAGCAGCAAGTTCAGATCTGTTTTCATATCTAAGAGTAAACACAAAAAACTTCATTAAAATTGTTATCTTTTCTTTATATTTATCTACTTAGTATTACAATAAAGCTGCCCAAAAATGTAGTATGTATATGTATTTTGAAGAAAAAAAAGGTGAACAAAAATGGAGATATGCCACTTCTATCCATCCATAAATAACCAATATACTTAACCTAAAAATGTTCCTCTCCATAGTTTGTTAATTGAGCATGATTTCCTTTGCTAAAGTAACAGACCCCTTTTAACATTTCTGGCCTTTAACTACTAGTTACTGTTAGTAAATGTGATGTAAATTACTAAATTTGCAATTGCAAGGTGCATTAAGTGTGTTTAAGTGAATAATACAGAATCATGAAAATATTCAGAGTGAAAATACAATTGAAAATCTATAGAGTGAATGGGGAAAGAATCCAACAAAGCAAGGCTTGCTGTATGATATTTAGTTACAGAAGACTTAATCACCACAGCAGCGAGAACCTTGAATCAGGTTAGGTTAGTAAGCTAACACAAAGCATTTTCTGGGCACCTACATACAACCCTAGGTAGGTAAACCACTTTGAAAATCTGTTTCTTAGTCTTTTGGGTATAATAAAAAGACTTATTTGATAATTATTTGCAACAGTAACAGCAAACATTGTCTATTTTAAACACTTGTAAGGTTGGGCATTTCTTAAAGAAGTTAAAATACAATAAAAAAGTGAGTAAATATTAGCCAAAAAAAAAGGTGATTTTGTGGTGGTATTTACTATTTGAAAGTTTGTCATTAGATTTGCCCTTTATCTATCCAATACAGAATCCAAAAATTTGGCAACAAGAAAAAGAACATTTCCCCAACAGCTCACCACCCCATGACAGACCTATCACAGTCTTCTAAAACTTTGTAAAATTGATGCAGATAATAAATGACAAATTGTATTAGATATCTTACCACACCGTTTTTTCTGCATGTTTTGAGTTTCCATTTTTGGTTGTATCTCTGTTCTTGTTCTGCAATAGCATGGAAAAAGTGTTTTCTTTCCTGTTCAGATTAGCAGTGTTTATAATATCATATGCAGTATAAATTAAGTAATTTTTCTTAAAATACACTCTTTTTTTTCTGAGTTTATCATCTGACATACACAGTTTAGTATGCTCTTGCATGGCAAAGATTTCCTTTAGAAATACAGTATTTATAGTAACACTGCATTTGTAACTATTGTCTTACTATCTTTTCAAAGTTAACATTTTGCAGAAATCAGGTGATTTCATGTTACCATCATGGGGCACCAAAAATGTTCCTGTCATTAAAAATATGCCTAGCTCTGTGTCATTTATCACAATAAATCTGATCCAATTTTCCTTACAATAGGTTGTCAACTTTGTCAACGTACAACTGGCAGTAAGAACATGTAATGTTACGTAGATCAAGTGTGTCTGACATCCACTATAAAACATTCAGCCTCCTACTGCTACTCAGTGAGCCACTAAACCATAACTGTGTCGTTTTATCACTATTGGTCAAAACCAAAGGCAATGAGCATGAACTGAGACATTATTTCTTAGACGTTATTTCTTAAACTAAGAATTTATTTTACTTCAAAGAAATGATCACATTACATGAACCATGTAAACCAGAAAAGCCCGCAGCATTGATTCTACATAAAGCTAGTGCACCAGCATCCGAGAGTTAGTTGAGCAGCAGAGTGAAATTCAGGTTTGGAAGCAGAAAGATGGTCCCTTAACCATGCCCCAAGTCCCAAACACAAAAGGTTGATGCAAGTGTCACAGTAACCTTTTTCAGTGTCTCAAAAATTATTTAGCTCCAGGTAGAAACTTTAAATCAGTGATAAACCCAGCTTAACAATGGATTAGTTATCCTTCTCAAAGTAGAGCAAAGGCTGTAAGAAATATCAGTGTCATCTTGATGAAGACAGCCAGCCCTGCTTTCCATTTAGAGTTACTGATTGTCCTCATTCCTTGCTGCTTCCGTTAGTTCAAATGCTCCATATACATCCTTACAGTAGCATTGGTGAAGCACATGTTTTGAAGGCTAAAGTTTAAAAAGAGTTCATCTTCTTTTACCCTTTCAGAAGTGATAATATATACGCATTTCATTTTCTTGCAAATCTAACCCTGCCACAATAGCAGAAAGCTTGCAAGTCTTCCTCACCTCTTTTTGCTCCTACTGCTATCACCCTCCTAGTCTAAGAGAAGACAAAAACTACCTACATATGCCTTAACAAAAGAAAAGCTGTAAAAATGAGCTCACTTTGGAGCTAATTCAGTTTCATATGAATATACATTTATACAATTAGGTTTCCATCAGTTATGGAAAACAACCCAGTAACATCCCTTCAAACCTCAAAAAAACACTCTTAGAAAAAGTTGCAATATATTAATCTGTTTGTTCAGCTGCATTAGAGCACGCAGGTTGAACATTCAGACAGCCCAACACAGGAGTTTAGGGAGCTCGCAGGGACCCTGATGGGATCACCCCCAGCCAGCCCAGCCCTGGGCTGCCGGACTCGCCCTGCACAGCCCCCCCAGCGCAGGAGCAGCCAGGCTCGCAGGTACTTCTCCTTTTTAAAACCCAGTGGTCAAACCCTGCACAGTGGAAGAAGTCCGGATTGTTGGTGTCCTATTAAAATCAAAATTCACACCCACAGCTGAGGATGCATCCGCCAAGTTCTGGGAAACACTGTGCAGTGTAACAGACTTCTCAAGTCTTCTAGTGCTATTTTAGCATTCATCTCATCCCTCCTCCCTCTCAAATGAGCCACGTATGATTTATAGCTCATTATCAGAGTTCAACTTTGAAGTAGAAGTCTTAACAAGTACTCCAGGTCATCCCAAATATAAAAAGGAAAGAATATATAAAAGATTTTCTAAAAAAAAAGGCGGCCAACAGTCTAAAGATGAAACTGCAACAGCATACTTCTGCCAGCTTTTGGGAAGGGTGCGGAACATCAAAAGGGTGGGAAATCGGGCACAGATTACGTACCTGTTGATGCGGCAGTGGCGGTGGTTCTGGTCAGCCGCGAAGGCGACC